TAGCTATCATGCAATAAGTATATGTGGATGGAAAATCTGAAAAGTTGCATCTATCCATAGTATTTCCTGTCCTGCTGTGTGGAAATCGTGGACTTTCTATTTGGATACAGATAAAATGGATGGATAAAATCAATACTTTAAAGCTGAAAATTAGGTTTACGGAAGTCACATCCAAGCCCATCCCTGAGGTCTGAAGGTGGTGACCTTGCCCTGGCTGTTCTCACTCCACGTCCCGAGACAGCTGGGGGCTCTGGGAACAGAGCAGGGTTATTCCAGCCCAGCACTGCTGGAGTTCCAGACTCCAGGTTTGACCCACCCCTGTGACAAGGGAAAGCAGGAAGGATCTGTGCCACTCTAGGCAGCAAATGGTCTCTATCTGCAGGAGCACCTTCTTTACAGCTTCCTAAATTAAGTTCCATGTTATTGGACAGGAGATGCCATGGGAATTTTTACATTTATCTAAAGCCACCTTGTGAAAAATCTGCCTCCTTTTAGTCTGATATTAATGTACAGGCATCACTCCATCCCGACTGGAGAAAGGGGGAGGGTGGGAATTTATCTTACATAAATCCCAGCGTGTCCTGTCTAATATTTATAGCCAGCACAGAATGGCTTTTCTTCCTGAGCTGCAGAAATAAACCTGTCAGCTCCGAAGATGGCCTTGTGTTTTATCACTTTCCTGCTTGATTTCAAATAGAGACAAAAGGCATAATAAAATATTTTCCATTGATCCCTGGGATGCAATCAAGGACCATAAGAAGCCAAAGATGCTGCTGCCACCAGCCCTCGTTCCCAGCACCAAGGAGAGGTAGAGCCACAATCCCACTGGCCTTGCAGGCATCTCCTGGGCAAGTCTGACCTTCCTGGTGCTGTTCTGGGTCAGGAAAATTGGCTCCTTGTACCCCAGGGAGGATCAGGGCTTTTCTGGCAACCGTGTTTAGGGAGATTTGGGTCACAGCAGGAACTTGGGGCCAGGCTGAGCATCCCTGTGCTTGTCAGGAGGGATGATGGTGCTTTGGGATGCTCCAGCGCATCCCTTGATCCCTGCTGCTGGCAAAGGGAGCATCTGCTGCAGGGGCTCCTGATATAGGGCCCTGCCTTTCATCCAACTCCTATGGAAAAAGCCAAGTTTCTGCCTAATGTACTGAAAACAGTGGCTGAATAGTCTGGGGAATCTCAGAGAAAGTCTTTACAGGACCCTGGGACTCCCAGAGCAAATCCTGACTGGATTACCAGAGGAGATATTTAACCTTAGCACTTCCACCTGCCCACTGTCAGCCCCTTGAATCCTTAAATCCCACCTAATTAGGAAATTACTTATGCAAACATTGGAACTCACCTCGTACAGACTGAACTAAGGCTACAAAACCCCACACGCAGGGAACCAGCCTTTTACACACCCAGGTCTGTAAATGGCATTTCAATATTAATTAACTCAAGGCAGCTAGGGGAAAATTAATTTATGCAATTAAAAATTATTAGATTAAAAGCCGTTTTTTTAACCCCCCCATCCTGTTGTAAGTAATCCTGGGCTCTGCCATGTGATTTCAGTACTTTCAAAATGAGACTTTTCAAATCACTAGGCTTTATGTAAAGTAAAGGAGTAATTAGATACCAAAAACAATAATTATCTCAACGAGAGACAGGGAGAGCAGAGAAGTGTAAATACACTGCCAGGGTAACTGCAGACCCGGGGAAGGAATTGTTATGCACCAGCCAAAGCAGGGAGCAGCCAAGCACAGCCCCACGTCAGAAGCACCAAAGACAACCCAGCCCCTGATCTGTCTCGTTCCTGACTCTCTGATAAAGGTTAATCAAGCACAAAGCAACACATGAGCTCTTGGGAATTCACTTCCAGCTCTGGGCACGGAACAGCCCAGCCAGGGGGGGCTGCAGCCTCCATTTCCCTCTTGGGGTACAATGACTGAGAGTTTGGGAGGGGTTTGATGCCCTCCCCAGAAGCAGGGCTGGGCAGGCACAGCGAGCCCTCCCCAGCAGCCCTCTGTGCCCTCCCAGTACCCCCCTCAAAACTGCAGTGATGCTACAACACCAGGGAAATGTGGCTGCTGCAGAAGAGACAACAAGCAAAGGTGCCTGTGTGGAGACCAGGTGTGGATGAGGAACTGAGCCACCAGCTCAAATCAAACATGAATTAATGACACCTCTGAGAAGCAAAATGATGCTAAAGACAATTGGAATGGGGCTCTGCTCCTCTTGGCTGGTGTTCCTGGGGCTGAGCATGGGCTGGATCAGGGGATGGCTGGGGGCAGACACCCAGCCCTCATTTGTGTGTTATGCCTTATTTTGTGGCTCTGGATACAAACAATCCCTGCAGCCTGACCTTTACAGACATTAATTTATTTAAAAAAAAAAAGAAAAGAAAAGAAAATAGACTTAAGCCAAGGGGAAGAGCCAGGTCAGCACCAACTCCTCTGCAGCAGTGCTCAGCCCTGGTGTGACCCCTGAAGGTCACAAACACGCAGCAACATCTCCCTTGTCACCCCCCAAACACTCTGTTAGTGCCCAAACCCCACTCCCACTCCTGCTGCTCCGCTCTGCACCCACTGCTGGCATGGAGGAAACAGCTTTTTGCAGCACAGAGGCACTGCTGGAGAAATATCAGCTATCAGCAAGTACCTGAGTTGTCTTAATCCTCCCTAAATCCCAAATCAGCTGCTGTTAATCTCCCTGTCCTATCAAACGGGGAATTTTCCCGGCGCCAGCCGCTGGGTGAAGCGACAGCCGGCAGCTTAACCAGCCCCCTCCCCAGGGCCGGTGTCAAAGGGATCTTTAAAGAAAGAAGACATTTAAAGCAGGACAAAATTTGCACATTTTAAAGCAGAAGAGCAGTGAGGAAGTGCTTTTGACGGAATTCAGTTGTTTTTCACTGCAAAACACCAAACACCAACGTTCTACCCCAGTCCAGGGCAGGTGACACTGGGGACCTGCTGGGGAGGAGAGGGACAAGGCACAGGGGACACAGCAGCAGCAGCTTCACTGGAAAACAGACACAGAGAAAGGTGGGAAATGGCAGGAGCTATGGATTTACCTTTGTGCCTCAGCATCCCTGGCACAAAGGTCCGACCTCACCCCCAGAAAAACCACGGGGTGCACAAACAGCCCCAACCCCTTCTCACTGTTACACTCTGGTATCAAAGTTAACGCTGTCCTGGTAACACTGTTCCTACACAGTCCAATGGCTTTAAGATCCCCTTCCTTCCCAAGGAAAGGCAAGCAGGCAGCTATCCAGACCCCTGGATAACCATCCCAGCTGCTTCCCAGCACCTGGGTCTCCCCATTTCCGAGGCAGGCAGGGAGAACAGGAGATTATCCCTCTGCAGATGTGGGGACAGCCTGGGCCACGGGGCACAGAGTGGAAATGAGCAGCTCCGAGGACAGGACCCCGTGGAGCTCCCTGCAAAGGCATCATTGCCAGGAGTGAACTCGGTAAAAATATCTGTCTGAAACCAAAACAAGCAGCCCTAAACGTAGGCAGGGCATGGCTGGCAGCTGCCCAGGTCAGCACCCCTGCCCCACCTGTGCCACGTGCTGGAGGGAGATGGGGCTGTGGAGGCTCCCACACGGCCACCAAATGGGTGGATTGTTCCTGTTTGATCAGTCAGAAAAGGAGCTGTAGGAGGGAGAGCTGCTGGAGCAAAGAGGCACTGAGAGGAAGCAGAGCTAAGGGCACTGAGCACCCTGCACCAAGTGGACTCCCACTCCATGTTTTCCCTGAAAGCAGAGCTTTTCCAAGCACCAAAATGAACAGGATAACTGTAAAGCGGAGGAAAAGCAGATGTGCACGAGGTTGTTACAGGCAGTGGGACAGGGGAGGGTTCAGGTAAATACATGGAGCATCCCTGGACTCCCAGTTGTGACCCAGGATGATGGATTGAGGGAGCATGGAATGTTCCCACCCTCATCTCAGATATCAGCCATGGAGATCAGATTAATTGTGGATTCAGTTCTCTGTGAGACACCAGTGCCCAAGTAGGGTACAGCAGCCAAGAGGCACCTGGGGGGGCAGCACATGAATAATCCCAAGCCTTAAGGAACTGGAACACCACAGAGAGCCTTGGACATGGCTGTGACCCTGCCAGTCCCACCAGTGGCAAGGAGAAATAGAGAAAACCAGGGAGAGACATCCCTGTTCCTGAGCCTACACAGTCACTGCTTCCTGCACATCCTCTCTGGAGGAGGGCAGGGAGAGCACAGGGAGAGAGGGGATCACACAGAGTTTGGAGTCACAGAGCAGCCACAGCACTGCAGGCAGGAAGACCCACGGTGGGGTTCAGGCTGCACCCCTGTACTGGTGTTACATGGTCAGATGTCGCTGCAATGATGGCTGGACAAGGAGCAGTCAAGTATTCCCATCTTTTTTGACAAACAGGTTTCTGATTGCTCCTTCCTCCACCTCCATTTGGCTCTGGCAGCTCATTCCCCCCAGGCTGCACTCCCAGCACCTCTCTGGCAGAGGCAGGCAGGGCTGAGGGAGAGCAGGCAGGATCCCCTCACCACAGAGCTCCCTCCACCTGCGAGCCCGGCTCCAGCTTTCCACCTTGGAGAGAGACTGTGGGGTCACATTCAGCTCCACTGCCCACTCAGGCAGACTGAGCTGATCTGGTGCTAAAATAAAGTTGAGATTAAAGAAAAGAGAGACCTGGTCAGCTTGAGAAGAAGGGAGGAAAAACCCAACAGAGAGACTGAGCCAGGATGACAGACAGACAGTGCTGCAACACAAAGGGGTCCAGGAGCTGAACATGTGGAGCTTCCATCCCTGCAAGCCAGAGTGGGACCAGGCATCCCCAAGTTGTCCTGCCACAGCAGAGCTCTGACACGTGCCAGATCCCAGGAGAACCATCTTCCAGGCAGGCAGAGAAACGGCACCTCCAGGACGAGCAGCACCCGCCCGTCTGCCCGTGTGTCCCCACGAGCAGGAGCAACCCTGGAGGAGAGCCCGGGCACACGGGAGGGCAGGAGAGGGGGCATGGAACACTTACAGCCTTTGGCTTGAAGGGGGGCTGGATCTCCTTGCGCTCCAGCTTGTCCCAGTCGATGTAGCGGAAGAAGGCGTGCTCCTTGATGTCCCGCTCCCCCTCCGGGCCGCAGCCCAGGCGCTTGGCGGGGTGCTTGGTCATCAGCTGGGGGAGAGCAAGAGAAGACACGGTCACTCACAGGGTGTCCAACTGCTTCCCACGTCCCCAGGGGGCTGTGATGTCCAGCTGGACAGGCGGCACCGTGCGGCTGCTGCCCTGGGACACCCCAAGTCAGGGTCTGTACCCCAGACGGGTCCCATCTGCTCCACCTGCTTTTGGGGCTCCAAGCAGAGGACTGAGGGGGAAGCCAGAGCAGCTCCGGGGACAGGGAAGGTTGACATCGGCTTATGAAAGTAGGTGGCAGGTACATAAGCACTGGCAGGATGGGCACACCCCCTTTCCCTCTGGGAATGAAACTGGTTCACCAAGAAACAACCTCAGGGTGCTGGCAGAGCGCCCCGTGGTGCTGCAGCCTCTCCTGCTGCAGTGGGGGGCAGGACGGGAGCAAAGCTGCCTCTACTCGGTACAAACTTCTCAGCATCTGCAGAATTAACTCTAAAACCCACTGCCCATTCAGGATGAACAATCTGCCCTCCAAAACTTTCATCAGCCCTCCTCCAGCAGAACCCCCACTCCTCCGGAGCCACGGCAGCACAGACATGAGGTGGATTTCTAATGAAAGAGTCAGTTTGGAGAAAAAAAGCAGAAACAGTCCATTAATGTTGTTTATCATCTAAACTTCTCCTCTTCACTGGCTCAGTAAGGGAAAGGGGCCCCAGGAATTAAGGGCAGCTGTACAACATTAATATCCTGGGGCAGGTTTTGAGCCATGTTCAGAGATCAGATGGAGATTCCAGAGATTCACAGGACATTGATAAGGATGGAGAATATGAGCTATATACCTGCAACAAAAGCACTGCTTTATTAAAAGCAAGGCAGTTCAAACTGGTCCCAGGGCTGTGCAGAGGTTGCAGGAAGTCTGACTCTGTGTCCCAGGGCTGGGGGAGCCTCTGGGAGGAAAAGGAGATGCCAATGCTCCAGCCAGAGAGCTGAGGAAAGGGTTTCAGAAGCAAGCAGAGAAGCTGTGCCTGCCCCATGCCTGGAAATGTTCAAGGCCAGGTTGGATGGGGTTTGGAGAAACCTGGTCTAGTAGAAGGTGTCCCTGCCCATGGCAGGGGGTTGAAACAAGATAAGCTTTAGTGTCCCAACCCAAACCATTCTAGGATTTTCAGACCAAAATAAGCCCATCAGCCCAGGCAGCCATTGGCAGCACACACCACCCCATGGGGATCTCACAAGCTCCTCTGCCAGGGGTGCAGGTGTTGGATATGGGTCAGTCCTGCCACCCCTGATGGTACAAAACAAACTTGCTCAGGGAAGTTGATCTTTAACAGCAGTGCTGCAACAGGGTGCTGAAAGCAAGGAAAACTCCAGGAAAAAAAACCCCAGAACCCTAAAAAGACAAACTCCAACAAATACGAGGTAAGAGCAGAGGCACCAACTATTCTGTGAGCAAATAGCTCTACATCCCTGTCCCCCAGCCGTGATGCCATCTGCAGCTGGGAGAGTGATGGAGCACGGCTTCCCTGGATCAGCATCCCCCTGGAAAGCCCATCTGCAAACAGGGAGGGCCTGGCAGGCTACAGAGGCTGGACCAGGGATTTTCCAGCCTCTGCTCAGGAAGAGGATGTGACTGGCATCAGCATCAGCTTTGCAGAGCCTGTCCCTGTTGGAGGAGCCACGCTGGAGCATGGCCAGTGGGCCCGGGAGGGAGGGCACGGGGGGCATGTGGCAGCAAAAACAAAAGCAAGGATTTTTTTCTAACTCATTTTTTGTTAATAACCAAGTTTCCCTTGGCATTGCAGCACACAGCCCTTTATAAAATAGAAACCCAACAACAAATCTCAGAGTAAGAAGCCTGAGAAGGTGGTAGAGGTAACATGTCTTGGCCTCTTGAACATGTGGGGCAACAGCACGGACAGCAGCTGTGATGGGCTTTTCTCAGGCACCAGCACCAGGGGAAATGGCACCTAAAACACCTGTAAATATTCCCAAAATGCTGCAGAAAATGTGCCATTTCATGCCTTTGCTACCAGGCAGAGATTAAAGAGGGAGCTGATAGTCACAGACAATCTGTTCCCCTGGAAAGGGCTGATTTGCTCAGGCACCATCAAACCTCTCCATATGGGATGGAAAAGGCTGAGGGTCTGTGCTGGTGCCCACGCGCTCCCGGGACAGGAGTCTGGCTCCTAATAACCAAACCTGAGCTACCTGCCCATGGAAACAGCAGCTCCAGGATCAGCCTTCAGAAACAAATCCGAGCTGACAGCACAGGAGGGAAATGCTCCGTTTGATCCACTAATTGCTGCTGACTGGAGAGTCCTGGAGCCACGTGCCAGTGAACTCTCCAGTTTCCTTCCCAGCCAAGGATCCCTGATTAATGCTTGTCTCTGGGCTCAGGCCGGTTCCAGGCTTTCAGGATCAAACACATTTCATCTCTGGGTGGTGCAGGGATGACTGGCACCAGCACACTGGAGTGAAACCACGAGGGAACAAGGAAATGTGTTTGGAGACCGCGGCAGTGCAAGATCAAACCTCTCACGGGTAAGGGCAAAGGCTTCTCCAGGGGCTTGTTCCCTGCACTAATGTAACACCAGGTTTGTGCCCTCCTGGCAGACCTACCACACACCAACACAACCAGCTCAGCCTCAGTGCAACTCACTGAGATGTATTCCACTGTGTTCCAGGGCAAAACATACATACTTAGTTCCCAGCTTACTAAAAAGTTCTTAAATCCTACACAGTTTTAATTCAACTTTCGGGTGTAGCAGTTTGGTGGTGGCAAAGAATGTCAGGAGGTTTTGAAACAACAGTAGTACAGAGGGAACCACCACTTTGGTACAAAAAAAATCTGGGAATTTATAGAGAATCAACCCTCGGTGCGTGGCCAAATATCCTCCCATGCAGCCTCCCATCTCCAGAGTGAGAAAAGCCATCGCAGCTACACCCAGCAGACGCTGCAGTCACGGTCCCTGCTCATCTATTTACAGCACCTACACTGTGACTGATGCAGCAGCAAACAAAGCTGACACTGAGCCTGGTCCCTGTTCCAGCCTCAGGGACAGTGATGCTCAGCAGCACCAGGCACCTCCCGCCCTCCTGCCTGACCAGAACACGCTGGATTTTCCCTTTACATCCCCAACATCACAGTAAGAGGATGAGAGACGGTGACAGAGTCGGTGGGAATCCCCCTCTGACCACCCCTGTGGTTTCTAAATTAAGGATTTGATTTTCCTACATTCTGCTGATGGTGGTGGGGCAGCACCCCTCCCTGTGCCCCTTTCCAGGTGGGAACACCTGCTTTTCCCCATGGGACAAGCGAATATTCCTCTTTAACACCAGCTCAGAATCCTGGCAACGCCAGGAAGAGGCTTTGAAATGCCGCAGTGGGAGCGTGAAGCGCAGGATGTGTCATTTGTAGATAGAAACACTATTTTGAGAGAGAGAACATTCAGATATTTTCAATATTAACTATTATAAGCAAACATTTCTTAAATTCCTACACAAACACATATTTATAGCAGTGTGTGGCACTTGGGGGTGAGATGAGGCTCAGTCCCAAGCACAACAGAACAACATCGGGACCTCGCCAGCCTTTATCCATCACATCCCAAATTAACTCAGGCTGCATTTAAGTCATGACTAGGCCCAGTCCATGGAGAGGTCGGGATGCTGGGCAAGGTAGAGCTTCACTGCAGATTAAGAGACAGGATAATGAAAATACTGCCCTGACACCACAGATACCACCAGCACTGAGGTTCAGGTCATCTTGAAGGGTGACATCAGAGCTAAACAGAAGGATGAAAGTGTCTGATCTTAGAAAAACTATTTTGGGATCATATTCACTTTCCCTGAGCATCATTTTTCATTTCAGGCAAAGATTTATAGAGCTGCCCTGTCCTCACCTGATAGGGCACAGAGTCTCTGGGGATGCCCTCCCTTCCCACCTCCCAGCCAACACCCCAATTCCCCCCTGAACTTCACCTGAGCCCTCAGAGCAGCCCCTGAGCCCCAGCTGTATCTCTGCTCAGTGTAACAGCACAGAGAGGATGTGGGTGTTATTTTTACCTGGTTTTAGTACACACACACAAATGACACAGGTTGTAGTTTTAGGAGTGGAGAACCCATCTGAGTGTCAGATCCCCTCGTGCTGGGGAGCAGGAGCTGAGCTGAGACCCCCAGGTGTGCAGGATCTCACTGCTCCCACTGCCCACACACCCCCCCAAACCAGCAGAGGACCCAGCCCAGCCCTTACCCCTTTGCAGATGGCCACTGCCTCCTTGGACATGGACTTGGGGTAGGCGACGTTGTGCTCCATGATGGACTGGAAGAGCTCGTCTTCATCTTCTCCCTCAAAGGGGGCCTAGAGCAAAGCAGACACAGGTTCAGTGGCATTTCTGGGTCCCTAAGCTTCCATGTGCTGCTGTGGTCCTTGGCCATGGACCCAGCCCTGGCTGTGCCATGCAGGGAGGTGAATCATCATCACAGTCCCTGGGGCTGCACCCAGAGTCACCCCAAGCTCCTAAGAAAATGCCCCAGCTGTGTGCCAGCAGCATGGCAAATTCCACATCAGTGTATGCTCAGAATGGAATGTAACAGCCCAGAGGAATCAATTAAAACTCAATTACCTGGCCAGCCAACATCTCATAGAGCAGGACTCCAAACGCCCACCAATCCACAGACTTCCCATAGGGCTGGTAAGCAATTATCTGCAAACAAGAGAACAGCAGGATTACACTCCCAGGTCTGACCTGGTGGCACAAGGCAAAGTGACTCCAAGCTGCAGCCCAGGTCACAAGGACAAGGTTATTCACTGGGACACGTTTCAGCACTGAAGTCCCTCGACCGAGCACACTCGGAGTTCCTCCCACCTGCTCTTTACCAGCACTCTGGGAAAGTCAGGTGTGAACTGTTCACATCATAAGGGCCTTTAAAAGGAAAGAGCACTTAGAAGAAATCCTCTGTCCTGTGAAGTCCCCACCTGCCCGTTGGGGAAGGTCAAAGCCCAGCAGGTGAGGAACAGCTTTGTTCAGCGGGGATCACACGCAGGGCTGTTCGCACGCAGGACCTGCCACCTTGGCACGCAGAGCTCTGGCTTGGAATAGGAAAAGTCCTGAAAATGGGTCAAGCAAATCACAGGACTGTTTTACCCCGAAGCCACGTTGGCCTGAGCACATTGCAGTTCCCTAAAGGAGGAGGCAGGGAGCAGCAGAAGGGCCTGGGCTGGAGCGTGGCCACCGTGCCACAACCTTATTGCTATTCCCAAAGAGGAGGTGTGAGATCACTCCTCTGAGACCCACTGCCAGCAGGCTTTAATGCCATTCCTGGGTGCCACAGTGATCTGCATCCTAATTTCCTATTTTCTGTTCTTCTTTTGGAAAAAAAAGAATTAGAGCAAGGAGAAGAAAATAAGAGTTAAAGTGAAAACACTCAGGCAAATACTGAGAGAACTGGTCATCTGTCCTGTTTGAAGGAGCATTAATCACCCAGAGCAACCAGCTCTGCACCAACACCCCCAGTATTAATCCTGGTGGGATGAGGGGATGGAACACATATTTGATCCAGTAATTGGAAACCTCACTGGCTGCAGCAAACACAACATTGTTTAGCACACGAGTGCATCGATGTCCTAACAAAGAGAATCTCTTTCTCTAAAATATTTACATGTATAAATATTAATCTTATTATTTCAAATTCAGCAGTGACAAGATTTTAGAGGGATGTTTTTATGCGAAGGAAACAGGCACTGGGAATAATTATGCCCCTGAATTTCACAATTGTGCCCATGCAGCATCTCATGGAAGTGTCATGTGTGACTCCATCCCATCAGTAATAACCAAATGCAAAGTCATTTTGGGGTGATCTAGAGCCATGGATAGGGAGTGTCTCCCCAGCAGACACACGGCCTCTCACTGTGAACAGTGAGTTGGATAGATCTAAGGATTGCCACTTCACAGGGAAATATTATCCACTGGTAATTCCCTGTTTCCCACTGGTCATGTTGTGCTGGAGGTGTCACACACAATGAGGGGCAAAGCTGAGCTCCTGAGCTCGTCTTTTCCAGGAGCAAGGGAGTAGCCCACGGTACTCTGAGTGTGCCAAGGGTCAGACAGGCGTGGAGCTGCCAGCAGGACATGGGAAAAAACCAAGAGAGGGAAAACACACTGCAGGGAGAGCAGCATGAGGATTTGCTGCACTTTGAGGGGAAGCAGGGAACAGTCCAACAAAGACACAGCTCCAGCATCCCTGCTTCCTTAAGGTCAGCAGGAGATGGACAGTGCTGAGGGGATGAACTTCCCAGGCTGATAGTGAATTCCCTGATGTCCCTGTTTCTGCCCAAAGCAAGGTTGTCCCGTGGGGAGGAGCACCAGGGAGGTGCCGGGACGTGCCCGGAGCAGCGGCCGCCCTGCCCAGCTCACCTCGGGCGCGATGTAGTCCGGAGTGCCACAGAAGGTCTTGGTGGTCACCCCATCCCAGATGTTCTCCTTGCACATGCCGAAGTCTGCGATCTTTATGTGCCCCTCGCTATCCAGCATCACGTTGTCCAGCTTCAGGTCTCTACAGAGGGAGAGCAAACCCGTGACACAACGGACAACACGAGTCTCCCAACTCCTGGAGCTCTGCTGGACTGCTGACCTCCAGCTTTGTCTCACACCCCAGACTCTTTGCAGGGGAAATGAGTAATAATAAGTCAGAGATCTGTCAGGATGGAGTGTTTATTTTACTTTTAACCCACAGGAACACCATGCTGGGCACAGTGCTTTGAAGTGTATGATGGAAAATACTCATCTGGCAGGGGATGCGTTGAATTGATTTGGTTTTTTTGCTCCTATGAAAATCAAAGTGCACTTAAAGCTCCCAGCGATGAAGAAGCCCCTATTCAGCACAAGTCCCTGCCTCACCTGTGCTCTGCTCCCCGTGAAATACACATCAGCTGTGTTTCTGATCCTCACCCACAGAATACCTGTTTGTGGTACCCAACTTCCCAGAAGCTCTGCTCCTCAGAATGAGCTGCAGGGATGGATCCAGCTGCAGAGCCTCGGATCCAACTCCCAGCCCCAACTCAGAGGTGGGTGCTCCAGCCTCGAGGACACTTCTGTAGCAAACAGTATTTTGGTGCAATTTCTACACTCTTGCTGGTTTTAAGGCTGCTTTTTCCAATTATCATGTCAGTGCTTAGAACCCCAACAGGCCAAAGGCAGATGGATAGGAGCTGGGATTCAGACTCGGAGGAAGGAAGGAAGTAGGGGCACTGGGGACTGACAAACCAAGAAATCTCTCTGCAGCAGAGGATGGCAAGAAACATCCCTCATGTCAAGTTTGCTCTACTTCTTTCATCTCCAGCATCTCCCTTTGCAGGGCACTTAATGGTATCTGACACTCATTAGGATGCTCCGCTCCACCCTGGGCTCTGGGAATTCTTCTGAGCAGGGAAGAGCAGTGAACACTGGTTTCAGAGCTAAACCAGCAGCCTCTGAGCCTGGTCTGGCACGTGGCAGCGACCCAGATCCTCTGGGTGCCCTAATCATACTGGGAATGGCAAAGGAGATGCAGTGGCTGAAGCAGAAGTGACACTCACACTGCAGAGCTCGGAACCAGCCCCTGCTGAGTGCTTCCTCCAGTGTTAATGGTAGGAGAGAGGTGCCCTGAGGGGCTGGGAGCTGCTCCAGGCTGCCAGCCAGCATTTGTGTTGTGTGGAGAGAAACACGTGGAACGGGGGCAAGAGAGAACCAGAGGTGCCTTCCTATAAACCGGGATAAAGCAGGAGCCTCCTCCAAACCAGCGGCACCTCGAGGCTCCCAGCTCTGCCTGGGGGTGTGGAACGTGCTGATGGCTGGACTCGATGATCTCAGAGGTCTTTTCTGACCTTAATGATTCTGTGATTCTACCTACAGGCAGCTGCCAGACCCTGCCCATGGCACAGGCAGGGAGAGCCCTGGGCCGGGGCTGTGGCAGATGGGGAGCCCAGAGCCTCTGGCCGGAGGTCCAGGGGAGGGGAGGAAGGAGGAACCTGCTCACCTACCGATAAATGATGCCTTTGCTCTGCAGGAAGAAGAGGCCAATGGCTATTTCTGCTGCGTAGAACCTGAAATGGGAGATTCAAAAGGAAGGCTGATAATTAAAGGAGATGAATCAAAATGAAAACCTTTCAAATCCGATCACAGTGAATGAAGCATCTGAAGGCTTTCAGGAACACATCCTGCTCTGTCCAGCTCACGGGGGACAGGAGCCAAAAGGCACCAGTTAACACTCAGGTTGCCATCCCAGCAGAGGAGCCAACACCCAGTGTCTTTTTCATCCCCCAGGGAGGGGGGGAAACCTCCAAAACCTCCCTGCCTTCTGCTTTCATTTACATAAATTTATTTATTTAGCTCAGTTATTTACAAGTGCAATGTATCTCAAAGGTGAGGTGGAGGTACCAGCATCCTTGGAAAAGACTTCTCCTGCTTCTTCCCAGTCCTGCTGTTTCCCCTCCCTTTCTGCTCAGGAATTGCACCACAAAGCCTGTGCCTTGGGCTCTGTTTCCAGCCACACGCCACAAATACATCCCATACCTACCCCAAAGGTGCCAAACTACTGCACTTACACTGCGTGGGGCTCCTTGAACCTCCCGACCTGCTGGATCTGGTACATCAAGTCCCCACCATTCACATATTCCATCACAAAATACAAGCGATCCTAAAGGAAAAAAGAAACAATTAACAACAGAATTATCAGAGCAGGGAATCTGCAGGGGCCAGAAACAAGGACTGAGGCGATGGGCAGCTCCAATCTGTATTTCCATGGCAATACAGTCATCATCCCTGTGCTCCCCACGAGGTGCAGGGGGCTCATGTTCACACAGAGCCCAGAAGTGCTGATCCCTTTGCAACACTCGGGGCTGAAGCTCTGCCCCTCTGCAGACAGACCCGCTGGAGAAGGCAAGTGGAGGAATCCCTAAACCAGAGGATTTTCCCTTCCCAGGAACACGTTTGCTCTTCTTCACAGAATCTGTTTTCAGAGAGCTGGTCAGGCAGCTCCTCGCTGGCATTTCCCCACGCACTGCATGGCTTCAGTTAAGGGATGTACAGGAGACATGAGCACTTCCAGTGGGGACCAAACTCCACCCATGCCCACCATGACTTGGCCAAGCACCAGGAGGACGAGTGACATTGCCAGCCCTCTCCTGGGCCAGCAGTGCCAGGGTTGCACAGGTCTGCAGGGGATCCAGCTGCCCTTGATCAAGCTGGGCAGGCAGGAAGGAGCTGCATCCCTTCTCCTCACTCCTCCCAGCCTGGTCTGAGGGGCCACCTCATTTAACCACACATGGTTAGATGAGTCCTGAGGAGTTCAGAGGTGCTCAGAGGGCTGGAGCCCCTCTGCTCTGGAGCCAGGCCGGCAGAGCTGGGGTGTTCACCTGGAGAAGAGAGGGCTCTGGGGAGACCTGAGAGCCCCTTCCAGTGCCTAAAGGGGCTCCAAGAGAGCTGAAGAGGGACTTTGGACAAGGGCACGGAGTGACATGTGCCCTTGACACACAGGAGCCAAAGGACACCCTGGGCTGGCCCCATCCCAGCTCACGGAAGGAAGGACAGAGGCTGGAGCACTGAGAGCTGCAGGTTGGCAGCTTTATATAACACTTCATAATATTTCCTCATTTCCTCCCTAAATAAGCTTTGCCCTGCTTTTCAGACAGGAAGGACAAGGAGATACAAAGAGATGCAGATGGAGCACTGCCATAAGAAGGGCTATGGAGGAACTGGGGTCATCAGCTCCAGCACCCCACAGGGCACAGCCCAGCCTGGCGATGCCCAGCCAGAGGAACTGGAGTCATTGGCTCCTGCCTCCTGGCACAGCCCACCCAGACAGGGGGGCAGCACCAAAGGGAATTAAATAGAGCACCAAAGGGGCAACTGGGCTGTGTAAAACACGTGGCACTGATGGGATAGAAGGGCAAATTCAGTTTGGGGATTTTGGAGCCCCCCACTCTGTAAAGGACTGCCCTGCCAGCCCGCGGGGGAGGCACGTGCAGGCAATGTCACCTTGAGCAGGCAGAGCCACGGCAGCCAGGCTGTGACAGCCACGGGAGAGCAGAGCAACGCTGTGCTCGGCTGCAGCTGCTTCCTAAATATATCGATCGGCTTCAAGAAGGAAGAATATTAAAAAGACGGTCTCTTGAAACAGCCAGCTGAGCTCTAAAAGCAGGAGCTGAGCTTTCCTCATTTGGGTGGGGAAGGGAACGCTGGTGCTTCAGAGAAAAATGCCATGAGTAAAGCAGGCAGATGGCTGGGCAGCCCACGGGCTGGGAGGGAGGGATGGATGGGCACAGAACGCTGTCCTGGCTCCTGTCGGAGGCAGAAAGGACGGCGTCTGTCCAAGTCTGGAGCATCCAAACTCACTGAGCAACAGCACAGTTCGGAGATGTAAATCCCACTGCAGAGCCTGGCATGGAGCCGGTGACACCCCCCTTCGCTGGGCAGACAAGGTGCAGCTCCCAGGCTCCTTCCAGTGCCCTTCTCCTAATTAACCACTTATTAACCTGATTAACCGTTTAGTCCACCCCCTGCCCAACCCCACACTGGAAACGAGTGGCAGCGCCAGGACAGCACCCACCCTCCACATCCACCCCCTTATTAGACACTAGGGAGAAATCCGTCCCTGTGAGGGTGGGGAGGCCCTGGCACAGGTTGCCCAGAGAAGCTGTGGCTGCCCCATCCCTGGAAGTGTCCAAGGCCAGGTTGGACAGGGTCCCTGCCCATGGCAGGGGGCAGAACTGAGTGATTTTTGAGGTCCCTTCCAACTTAAACCATTCCAGGATTCTGTGCTCCTGTGATTTACCATCTCAGTGTTGCTGCAGCTGCTGTGCCCTTTGTGCTGTGCCCCAGAGGGAACCAAGGTCACCAGTGAAGGCACAGCTCACCTGGGGACACCCAGGGACCCCTGGCTCACACCTTTCCCTGGAGCCCAGGATCTCACTGGGATCTTTCAAGGCAGAGCACTCCAGGACATGCCAGCACAGGCATCTCTTGCCCTTCAGCCCCAGGCAGGAGCTCTCTCTCTCACTGCTCATCTTCACTCTTTCTTTAACACAGATTTAGGGCTCGTGTCTCTCCCGAAGCCGCTGAGCCAACAGCCTCGGCTGAGAACTGTGCTCTGGACTGTGCTCCCAGAAATCAAAGTGCTTTGTGCCAGCGTTTGATAATACACCCTGCTATACATTTTGATTACATTACAAATACGATTACTATTAAGCTACTATAGGTCTGCCAGGAATAATCCTGCGCTGACTCACTTCAGATGCCAGTGAGATGCTGTGTGAAATAGCTGCTCCTGCCACATTTCTGATTACTGTGCTGCAAAGCCAGGCCGCAGGCTTTAAACACTCAATGTGTTTGGTAAATGAAATTTCTGGAATAATATTAAAATGTAATCCTCCTGGAAAGCATTGTCATCGTTCTAAAGGACTCTGCTGATTCCCTCTCCCGGCTCCCACTGACACGGGCCTGGACATTCTCATTCACAGGTTGCTTGAGGGCTGGGCAGGGATTGTGTTAGAGGTCCCCTGTCCCCTTCTCCACTCCTGACTCATACAAACCCAATCACATGCCCATTTCAAACTGGATTTCCTGTGGTTTGGATTAGGTTTCTCCCTTTACTCAGGGTTTTGATCACAGGGATGAGTTCTAGGAAAAACTGCAGCACTTGGCAATTGAATCATAAGGGACATTGTGGGCTGGGGGTGCCTGAGGGGCTGGGAAATCACTACTAACACCATGAACAGCTCCCTGATGAAAACATCTCAGGGGAGTGCAGCTATGGGACATTACACTCTCGTTTCACACATTTTGTCATGGAGACACTTTTGCCAGAGAGGTGGACAAGCTGTGAGGTTGCCAAGGCAGAGAATACAGGGCTGCTTTGGCAAGAGCAGTGATGTACAGAGAATCAGGGAATCCCAGAATGGTCTGGGTTGGAAGGGACCATAAAAATCATCCAGTTCTACCTGTGCCATTGGCAGGGACACCTTCCTCTAGCCCAGGTTGCTCCAAGCCCCATCCAATCTGGCCTATCCATTTGCCAAGGGTCAGGCGCCCAGGGCTCAGGGTCCACAGTCCCTCCTGCCCCTTGCCCAGGGACAAGCTGTGGCACCAGCACTTACCATGGTCTGGAAGCAGGAGTGGAGCTGGGTCAGGAATGGAGGCTTCCCGGAGAGAGCCAGGACACGTTTTTCCACCATCGTGCACTCCACATCATCATCCTGGATAACAACGTCCTTCTTCAGGATCTTCACAGCATAGAGCTCGTCTGTGCCCTTCCTCTCTGCCAGCATCACCTACTCAGGGTGGAGGATAAGTGCAGGATCAAGGGAAATGTGGATTTTAAATGCCTTGACCTTAAATAGTTAAACTAATGGCTTGCTTATTATCCTGCGGCTCCTGTTACAACCCTGAGAAGAGCTTCAGGTGCCAAATGATGCAGAAAGCTATCAGGGGTATTGCCAAAAGCATTTAGGGACACCAAGTCTAATGAGTAACGAGTCTACTCCCTCACCACCTCATTGCCTGGAGGAGCCCATCCCAAGGGTTTGCTGATGTCTGAGCCCAGCTCACCCTCCAGCACCCCCAGCCCTGAGTCAGGGCCCAGGGCAGCACCCTCACAGTGTCACCAGCAACGGGGGAGGCTGTCAAGAGTCTGAACACAGAATCCATCAAATTACAAAGTGGTAAAAATTTAAAGTGGAAAAGAGTCAGTCTATAGTGAATAGTAAGGAAAAAACCACACAATTTTCTCTGTTTCACCCTGCCCCCCAACAGTGACCAAACCCCACTGTGAGCGGGTCCATCCCCCAGCCAAAGCCTCTCCCAGCCAGAAGAATCCATCCAACCTCTCATTTCAAGCCAGTCTCACCCATTTACAGGTTTATTTATTGCAGTAAATGGGATTCACTGCTTCTGATGGTGCAAATCCCCCGGGTTAATCCCATCAGCCCAGCGAGGGTCCCCATCCCGGCCCACCACGCTCCATCAGCCTAAGCTGCTCCTTGTGCTGCCAGCAACACAAACCGACTCTGAAACCACGCTTTGCCTCCCATTTTCCCTCTTGCACTCTCTCATCACATTAGATTGGAGTGCTGGCTGGAAATGAATTGCTTTTCATTTGAAGGAGTCGGCAGAAATCCTCCAGTCACATCGGGAACAGCAGCTCGGGGGTTTTGGAAATAAATTATGTGAAGTCAACATCAATAGGGTGGAACTGAAATGCACTTCAGGCTGGGGCAGACTGGAGAAGACACACGAGCGGGTCTCGGGATGACTTTTGAGAGTCTAAGGACAGCCGGATTAACCCTCTTGTGTTCCAGCCCTGGCACAGCTGCCCAGGGCAGGGGTGGAGTCCCCATCCCTGGAGGGATTTAACAGATGTGTGCATGTGGCACTTGGGGACATGAATTAGTGGTGGCCTTGGCACTGCTATGGGAAAGGTTGGACTCGACGATCTTAGAAGGCTTTTCCAACCTCAGTGATTCTGTGATTCTGTTCTATGACATAGCCCAAGGACCAGGGATGACAAGGCAGGGACACAGCCCAAGGATTGAGGTCTTCATTGCCCACCCACTGTCCCTGGGGAGCTCGGCTGTCCTGGACACGCTGCCTGTCAGGATTAGCTGGGAATGGCACTGGAGCTCCTCAGAGCCAAGTGCTCTGGAGCAGGTGCTGACATTTCCCTCTCCATCAGCGGGGTGGGGCTGCAGCAGCCACGCACCGATTCATCTCTCACAGGGCGGGGCCATGGGCTGGCGGCTCAGGGACCCCGGCAGAGCACTGATTCACTCACTGGTGCTCGAGAAACACTGAGAGCCCAGAGCAGCTCGTTGTGCTGCTGGGACGGAACCCAGCAAGGCACAGGCACTGGGACCAGCTCTGGGCTTTGCCTTTTCCCGTTACCAGTTCCCTGAGATGTTTGCAACAGCCCTTAGCACCACACACGGGCACGGACAGACGGACACCCTGCCTGCAGCCACGGAACAGTGATGATGGGACAAGGGGGAACGGCTTCACACTGACAGAGAGCAGGGTTAGATGGGATACTGGGAAGAAATTCCTCCCTGGGAGGGTGGGGAGGCCCTGGCACAGGTTGCCCAGAGAAGCTGCGGCTGCCCCATCCCTGGAAGTGTCCCAGGCCAGGTTGGATGGGGCTTGGAGCAACCTGGGCTAGTAAAAAGTGACCCTGCCCATGGCAGGGGGTGGGACTGGATGAGCTTTAAGGTCCCTTTCAACCCAAACCATTACATGTTTCTCTGCCAGGGCAGCAGACACAGCTGTCTCACGTGGAGTCTGCACCTCTGCCCTCCCTTCTGATTCTGCCCAAACTGAACTGTTTTGGTTCATTGCCTCCATTTATCACCATTTTTACACAAGTTGAGCTTTACAAGGTGCTGTACACAGGTGCTAAAACCAGGGCTGATTTCTAAGTGATAAAAGCAGACAGGCTTTGCTGTTCAAAATTGGTGGAAAAGAAGCAACTGCTCCAAGAATAGAGTTTGTGGGAAAATTAAACCTGTTACCTGGGAGTAAGGACATTATATACAATATTAGTTATATACAGACCTGCCCTGCTATCCATAACCCTTTCAGAGGAAAGTTAACTAAACCAGGGAGCCTCTGAGCCTGGCATCTGCTGCTGCCCTGAAGGGACCTTGTCGGGGACGTGGCTCCCACCCCCCTGTGCAGCGAGGCAGAGGTTGGCTGGGGTACCACCACAAATGCAAAAAACTGCTCCAGGGCACACATGGGCTGTGAACACTTCATGCAGCAGCTTCCCAATGACACAGCAACCCCCAGCACAGCTGAGCCAGCCCTGCTTTGCTGGGATGTGAAAGGCAAAAGGACCCTCCAAGCTGCTGAGAACCAGCGGGTGACACACAGGGGACCCCGGGTGTAAAGTGTGTGCCCAGGAGTGCAGGGATGGTGGAAACCACCTGCTGCCCTCAGTCACATCTGGGCTGTGTTCCCCTCTCCTGTGTTAAAGAATCACAGAATCATTGAGGTTGGAAAAGACCTCCAAGATCATAGAGTCCAACTTATGACTGATCCCCACCTTGTCCCCCAGCCCAGAGCACCGAGTGCCACGTCCACTTGTACCTTGGACACCTCCAGGGATGGGGACTCCACCACCTCCCTGGGCAGCCCCTTCCAATGCCTGACCACCCTTTCCATAAAGAAATTCTTCCTGACACCAGAAGTGTCCTGATGTCTGGAGGTGTTCAAATACCAAGAGATGCAAACAGGCAAATGCCCCAGCACAGTCGGTGATGCCCTGACCAGAGCCATGCACAGATTGTGGTTGATTATCACAGCACATGAAAACTGTGTTCCATTGGACTGGAATACAGAACTGCAGTGGCCAAAGGCTCCACCCTGCTCAGCAAAACACCACAAAACCCCCCAAAAGCCTGACAGCTAGAGAGCACAACAGATTGATTAGCTGCAAAAATATGAGCAAGCCATGTAATTTCCTTTTCCTCTATTTATATTACAGCAAAGCAAACCCAGGGTGGGCTGTGCCAAGTGCTGCCTCCCTCCCTGGGAAGGTCTCCCTGCCCATGCCAGCCCATGGAGTGCTACCACCAGCCACAGTCCTGGGGGCTTGGTGGGACTCACGACCAGGGGAGCCCAGGGAGATCCCAGAGCACCAGGAGCAAACAGGGCCACCCTGTGTCCTGGGGCTGAATGCACCAACCCAGGATTGTGCACACCCAAGCCCCTATTTTCCAAACCAGATCCATTTTCCACCCCCTAAACTCTGCTGCCTGGCTCAGGGGACCTCCATCTGCCAGCACACTCGCTGGGAAGCAGATTGCATTCTTTTTTAATTTTTTTTTTTGGTGCAGAAAAAAGCTGATATTTAACTTGATTTATTCCTGTAATATAGAGTATTGTTTGGGAATGCTTCAGCATAAAAACTGGAGATATTCTGAACATAGAGAAAGTAAGTTTGTTAAACTCCACCGAGGCCAACATATTGGTACTCCTGACCTGGACTGCCAGAGTGTGGAGAGAGGAAAATACCAAGCAGTAAATCTGAGATCCTGATGCCAAAGAGTTAACAGAGAGAGACAGAGACTCACTAAAATAGTGTGGTTACAGTCCAAGAGCTCTCACAGCCAGCAGGGACTGGGAGGAGGGAGGCTGGCAGCAGGCAGCCAGCACAGGAGCAGGCAGTGCCAGCCCTAGGAGGGAAGGCCATGGTGCCAGCCCTGGAGAAGGACGGCGATGCCACGAGCACAGAGTGGGCTGCTGGGCACGCCAAGGGCTGCAGGGGGCTGAGCCCCTGGGCTCCCTCCCCTCTGTGCCCCCTGCCTGGCTCCAGGCACACGCCCTCACTGTCCCTGACCAGGAGCAGGCACAGCCCCTGTGCTGTGCCAGCCCGTGCCCCCGAGCAGGGGATGCCGTGGGGAAGTGCAGGCACACGTGAGCAGGAGGCTGCCTCTGCCCGCAGAAACCAATGGTGCCGTTTTAATTAGCGCTAATTAGCATATTTATAACATGCTGTTCCAGGGAACAGTTTCTGTCACACATTCCCTTATATAAGCCACGGAGCCAACTGAAGAGTTTGCTAATGTTTCTCAAATTTAAGGAAAGAAGGCGGGGGGGGCTACACGATGCACAGCCACAGTCTCCAGATGCCAGCACTGGGTTTGAAAGGGATGAGGTGTTGGGAGGGAGGGAAAGGGGACATGGATATATTTCTGTGTGAGCAGCATGGGCAAGAGGCTTTCCTGCTCCCCAGGATACCAACCCACAGCAAAGGGGTCTGGCAGCGAGTTCTGGGCAGGAACCCCAGGCTGATGCTCTGAGTGCTGGGGACCATCAGGACCTCCCTGTTTTCCACCTGTCAAAGGTGTTTCCATGGATCTCTGAGCTCTCCATCTCCAGAGAGGGAGCAAACACCCAAACAGAGGCTGGGACCTCCCCAAGCTCCACGGCCATCAGGAGAAGGCTGAGGGAGGGAAGGGGTGTCCCTGCTGCACCCCTGTGCTCAGGTGATGGGGGAACATCACTCCCTGCACACCCTCCTCATCTTCGCTACCTGCCCAAGGAATGAATCTGTTGGCAGAACAATATTTCCTGCAATTAAGGGGGAATTCACTAATGACAGTGGTGCTGGGCCAGCCATCACACCAGCAGACACCAGGCCAGTGTCCAGTGAGAACCACCCACCTCCTGTGGAGCCCCAGCAGCCACTGGAGCACTGGGATCCCAAATGGAAATCATGAGAGAGTTGGAAAGACCCCAAGAAAAATGAAGGCTCTGAGTCACATAATTATCACAAGAATGAAGTTCTGTTACTGCTTATATATCCCACATATTTGTAACTATTAGGAAAAAAATAAAGGCCAAATAAAAAAGAGCTTTAAAGACACAGCTCAGCCCCCCACTTCCCAAAAGGGGCCAGATGGTTTTTGTGATGGTCTCATCAGACTTCTCAGGTGTTTCCTGCTGTGACCCAGAGGTCACAGTCCAGAGGGAGCCAAGCTGGGCTCCCAGCACCGTGACACCAGTGCTCCCAGTCAGAGTGAGGACAGGTCACACTGGAGCAGCCACATGAAACTTATCTTAAATACAGACAGTGTCAAGGAGAATTTGGTGCCTCACCTTCCCAAAGCTTCCTTTTCCCAGCACCATCAGGAAGTTGAAGTCCGAAAGCTTCATCCGATCTCTGCTCCCGTTGTTGTCAAATTTGGAAATGGCATTCCTTGTCTTCTCATCCGCAGCCTTGGACCCAGTTCCGATCTTGGCTCTCTGCAAGGGTGACATGGGACAGGGAGAAAAGAAAACACATTACTGAAATCGGCAGGGAGAAAGGGTGTTATAAACCCCAGTGCATGCCCCCAAAATCCCACCTAGTCAGCCCTTTCCCAGCTCAAACACCATCCTGAGCTTCGGGAACCTTTTCCATCACCGTGATGGGGACAGCACCAAGAAGGGCACTGGAGGAGTTACCAGCACTGGCACATGGCACAGACCGACTGCTGCCCAGTCAACCTCTGCCAGAGCAACTGGGAACCACCTCTGCCCACTGTCACCCTCTCCCCATGCCAGAAGGTAGCCTGCCACACTGCCCCATGCTCCAGGTCATCCAAAGCATAGAACAGAGCCTTAAAGAAGCTTTTTTCCTCAGAACAAGCTTCTGTCTCTCACCTCCTCAGAAAAGGATGGGTGAATATCTCATAGAAGATTTCACAGAATATTCTGAGTTGGAAGGGACCCACAAGGATCAAGTTCAGCTCTTAAGTGAATGGCCCATACAGGGATTGAACCCATAACCTTGGTGTATATAAATATATTAAGGCAAAACACAAGACTTTTTATCCAGCTCCACCTCCATTACTCCCCTTATGGGTCCCTTCCAACTTGAGATATTCCATGATTATATCTGATGTTGAAGAGAATCACACTCCTGTGCCAGGTCAGGTTGAACATAGGAAGCCCCAAATCTACTTGGAACAGCAGAGAACAGAGAGCCCCCCTCTCACACCCCAACCACCCTCACAACCACAGCTGCTCACTGAGGACCCCCACAAACCCCCATGCTTAAACACCAAACCCCACCAGTGTCCTGGCACCTCCTCCCCAGGCCAGGGGCTGTCTGATGTGCCGAACCACTGCTTGAAAAAGCTATCTCACAATTTATTCTCTTTTAATTTATAGAACTGTGTGGCAGTGTGAGGCCTGTGCCGAGCTCAGCCTAGCATGAAATTCCATTAACCCGATCCCGGTGGTTCAATTTGGCTGCTGCTGGCAGCCCCTCCAGATAGCACCTCACGGGTAATCTCAAGCCTTTGCTGCTGCTAATTGGTTCTCACAAGGTTCTCCCTGCTGCTGAATTCCCCACTCAAGGTCACCTGCAGCACCTACGAGCATCTGAAAAGCTCCTGCACTGAAAACCGAAGGACTGGTCTCTGGCATTTTCAAACACCGTTGGTGTGACCACAGCTCTGCCCCGGGAAGAGGCTGGAACCCAAGGATGGGACCCGCTGCTGTCACTGGAGCCACA